GTGGCCTTCAGCTCTTCTGAATTGTTTGGTCTGGTGTATCACATCTTCCTCTTCATGATACTCCATAGATTTTCTATGTGATTATGTTCAGGCGAGTTTCTGGCCAATTAACAGCAGGGATACCATGGTCCTTAAACCAAGTACTGGTAGCTTTGGCACTGTGTGCAGGTGCCAAGTCCTGTTGGAAAATGAAATCTGCATCTCCATAAAGTCAGTCAGCAGCAGGAAACATGAAGTGCTCTAAAACTTCCTGGTAGATGGCTGTGTTGACTTTGGACCTCAGAAAACACAGTGGACCAACATCAGCAGATGACATGGCACCCCAACCCATGACTGACTGTAAAAACTTGACACTGGACCTCAAGTAACGTGGATTCTGTGCCTCTCCTCTCTTCCTCCAAACTCTGGACCTTGATTTCCAAAGGAAATGCAAACTTTGGACCACTCAACAGCAGTCCCAGGTGAGATGCTTCTGATGCTGTCTCTTGTTCAAGAGTGGATTGACACAAGGAATGCGAGAGCTGGAACCCATGTCTTGCATATGTCTGTGCTTGGTGGTTCTTGAAGCACTGACTCCAGCTGCAGTCCACCCTTTGTGAATCTCCCCCACATTTTGGAATGGGTTTTGTTTCACAATCCTCTCCAGGGTGTGGTTATCCCTATTGTTTGTACACTTTTTTAACCACATCATTTCCTCTTTTGACTTAAACAGAGAATTATTATATTCTGTTCTAGAATTACGCCGCTCAAGGTGGCAGCATGTTGGAGCAGCTCTGTCACACTCATTCTGAGATTTTGCTTTTGGAAACATTAATTCCTCTTTTTCTGGATGTGAATCACATTTTTTGGATGATTGTTTCCTCTGGTATCAGATGCTGTGCAGCTGGAAGGATTTTGGAAACTTTTTTAGTTTTGGACATTTGTTATGATGTGTAACCATGGCAACGAGGCAGTTTTTTTACAACCAACAGCAGCTGATTAACATCTCAAAAGCTCAAATAATATCTCGCCTACAGCCTCAAATCCCAAATGAGTTGAAAAGGATGTTCTGTGGATGCATTCTCATCTACCTGCCAGCTGTGCTCGAGTGCCTGACCACTGAGATCCTGGAACTAGCAGGAAACATGGGTCATGACAGCGGAAGAACAGGATCGTCCCTCAGCACCTACAGTTGGCTGTCCGCAGCAATGAGGAGCTCGGCAGACTGCTGGGAGGTGTGGCCATCGCTCTGGGAGGAGTTCTGCTCGGCATTCGGGCAGTTCTACAGACCGGGGGAACTGAGAGGCCAGCGGAGTCTGGGTGGACGGATTGGACGGCATCTGCAGCCAGTTTCTTAGGATCCACTGTGGGATGGACCTTTACAAGAGATCCTTCCTGCCTACAGCCATCAGTATCTATAACATCTCTTAATGAAATGAGGATAATGAGTTACAAGAACAAATAATTTCCCTCTGGGATTAATAAAGTTTTTTTGAATTGAATAAATCTCTTTTTGACTCATATTTTTGCATCCAAAATTGCTCTTCGAAGCTTAGAGAGATTCTTTAGAAAATGTCCATCTTCTCTCCAGGCACCGCCAGAGCTTTGATTCATTCATTCAACCTTTATTTATACAGATTAATCTAACTGAGCCTCTGAGATTCATTTACAAGTGAGACCTGTTTTTTAATAGACAGACAGACAGACAGACACACGTAAGGAAAAGAGAAAACACGAGGGGGAGGGGAAAAGAAATGATTGACAAGTCTCTGGAAAGAAGTTAAACTTTCCACAAAACTCCAACTGCAGTCATCTCACACACCCCCACCCCAAAAAGATGCACAACATGCATTAACAATGAAATCTGATGTCTTCAGGGTGGGGGACTGTTTTATGCACGACAAGATGACATCAGCATAGAGTTCTGGATATAATCCAGAGGGTTTCCACGTCCACAGTGGTTTCGTTCAGGCTGCTGGGCTGATTTCATAAGGGGGTGGGGGGTTGTCACATTTGAGATTAGCTGTCTGCACACACTCTCATGATGCACAACACAGCAGACTGACTTCATGCAGTCAGTACATGTTTAAGGACCCCTCCCTGTGTATTGTGTGCTTTATGGATCGTGCACCACCTCTCTGACTGCGTAATGGATATTATCGACCGAGTCGATGCTCCTCATTATTACAGCTTTTTAAAACTGATTATATCTCAAGGATCCTTAAGCATCCAAGAGCTAATTTACCCACTTACACTGTAAAAGAGAAAAGAGACTGTAAGGTTCTGTTTGAAAAACACATTTAATCAATGAGAGGTTTTCACTTGCACCTGCTATCAGATGAAGAGCATGAGCTTAATTTCACCAGATTATTAGTTGTAATGAAATCAGATTTGGGGCAGCACGGTGGCGCAACTGGTAGAGCTGCTGCCTCTCAGCGAGCAGGTCCTTGGTTCAAACCCCGGTCCAGGGGCCTTTCTGGGTGGAGTTTGCATGTTCTCTCCGTGCATGCGTGGGTTTTCTCTGGGTGCTCCGGTTTCCTCCCACAGACCAAAAACATGCATGTTAGGCTGATTGGTAACTCTAAATTGTCCCTAGGTGTGAGTGAGAGAGTGAATGGTTGTTTGTCTCGTTTGTCTCTATGTGTCCCTGTGATGGACTTGCGACCCGTCCAGGGTGTACCCCGCCCCTCGCACAGTGATTGCTGGACATGGGCACCAGCGACCCGCATGACCCAAAATGGAATAAGCGGGTAAAGATAATGGATGGATGGAAATCAGATTTGAATCTATAAATGACATTTTCTTTAAACATTGCTGAACATAAGGCTAAAATAGCAAAGTTGATTTCGTACAATTCTAAATGCACAACTATTTCATAATATCAGATATAAGAAATGAAATAGACTTGCAGCGTGTGTAATCTTATCTGAATATGGGCAGTAAAAATATGCAGTTATATATATGAAACTGCTTTTGTAACCTTGTGCTAATTTGCCCACTTTTGTGGGTTTTAGGCAGTTAAGTCTTTGCAGATAAACACAAACGGTTCTAATTTCTGCATCAAAATTCAACAATTTTATTTAAAACGTATGAAATCTAGTTTTATCCCTTTGCACCAATAATTATTTAACTATGGATTCAAACATGCAAGTCCTTTGACCAGAGATGGAGCCAGAGGGGTGGTGAGGGTGGAACTTGACGACCCCCCAAATGGCCACCCCAGTTGATTGACAAGTCACTGCATTGAAACGTGTGATTAAAGTAAACAAGGACTTATAAACGATTTGTATGTTCCTTTTTTTTTGGTACAGATTCTAATTATTTATAACATTTTGTTAAAAATGTAAATGAAAAGTATAAGGGACTAAGATTGCTGGAAGGTATATTCTTTGGGTTCCAGGTGTAAATAAACATAAACCAAAACCAGCTTGAGACACATTCATTACTTTCAAGACACCAAGATTGTGTAGTAAATGAAAACACAACTGATATTTCATTAGAAATAGTCAGTTCTGGTTTAGTAGAGGCGGCACGGTGGTGCAACTGGCAGAGCTGCTGCCTCTCAGTGAGCAGGATACTCTGGCTCAAATCCCGGTCCGGGGGCCTTTCTAGGTGGAGTTTGCATGTTCTCTCCGTGCATGCGTGGGTTTTCTCCGGGTACTCCAGTTTCCTCCCACAGACCAAAAACATGCATGTTAGGCTGATTGTAATTGTCCCTAGGTGTGAGTGGTTGCATGTCTCATTTGTCGTCACGTGGCCCTGTGATTCACTTGCGACCTGCGTACTCTACCTCTCACAGTGATGGCTAGACATGAGCACCAACAACCCAAAAAGGAAGAAGTGGGTAAAGATAATGGATGGATGGTTTAGTAAACATAAACAAAACTATATTTGCTTGTGAAAAATAGAGATAAACAAAACAGATTCTTCATGTCATTCACCAAGATTTTTTTAATGCATTTTGTTGTCCATCACATCCAAAAAGCCATACTAACATTATCTGACCCGTGCTCTAAAAGCACATCTGGATGAGTGAATGTGTAACTGGACTCAATCTACCCATCATCATTTAAAAAAAGCTATTGTTTCTCTGCCGTTACAGCAGATTAGCGCATGACACTAACTCGTCGCTGGCTAAACTTTGAGACAACAGAAGTCACTCTCATGACTGCAGTCAAGCACATGAGGAGCACAAAGAACTGATGGTGACAGCAAACTCCCCGAGCTGATGTAGTTCTTAAACAAAAACTCAATGTCATAGCCTCAAGCATGTCTCAGTCAGCTTACATAAAGAATTTAACCTAATAAAACAAATGTTTCCCTCAAACTAACCAGGGCAACACAGTATATGCACTCAACACCAGGTCAAACGTACAGGCGGCTGGGGGACTCTGCAGCTGCGTTTCTGTACTATTTAAAAGCAACCGTGACCCATTTCTGACACCTCCACAAGGAACTATAAATTTTTAAGAGGCAAAAAATACAACACAATCAGACCTCTGTGATGGAAACCTTGTGGAGAATTCACTTGGCTGCTATTCAGCAACATCTGCAAACTCAAGTTTGCTTAAATAAGGAGGGTCAGGAAGCTTAAACCCTCATGGGATACAAATGAAGCAACTTGCGTGTCTTTGTTAGGACAATCAGAACCGAAGAGAACTCGAGTAGGTTCTCAAGAGAACAGCGATCGACAAAACAGCACAAGAAAATCTAGTGAAATAGCGCCCTCTAGCGTTTAGACTGAAAACGTTAGTGCAGGATTATTAACAGAAAACCCAAAATACAATTCAAAACATATCAAACTATATTTATTGTATACAGAATAGAGACAACAAATAATGTACAAAAAAAATAAAATAACTCAAGCTCACTGGTATTTCTAACTGGTTACATTTTTTTTAAAACACCAGTGGACTATTTTAAAGCCAAATCCTACAAACACACAAGCAGCTAACAAAAATATGTAGATATATTCTTTTTACAAACCATTCAAAACTGGAAACACAGTATGTATGACTTATACAGTGAGTGAAATATTTAAATGATAATGGATCGATAAAAGGTGATTTTATTTTTAAGGGTCCACAAAAATGGGAAAAAGGGTCCATTTACAAGAGAACCATTTCCCTCTGCGTCAAAGTATGTATCAGTAATGCAGTATATTTTTTTATATCAGCTTCTTGAGTTGTAGAAGTAAAAATAACTGGGCATTTTTGGTCCAGGAACCTCACCGCGCAACATCATTTATTACATCCGAGTTGACCAGAACATATTTTCTTCCACAAAAGTTCCTGTTGTTTGCGATACACCAGGTAGATATTAAATAAATGTTGCTGGAAAATAAGATTTAAAAAGTTACAAAACATCAGAATCATTCTTCCATAAATGGACATAATTACAGCGTTCCACCTAAAATCTCAGCAAGTACTTTTTAAATGACAACACTTCTCACTTGAGATGTGCTCCTGCTTTTGACGGTTTTAAAATAATTCATTTAGACAAATAAAAAAAAAGGTTTTAAAAAAAGGCCATTCAGCTTCTCAAGCGTTCCAGATGAATCCAATTTTTGTCAAGAACAGCCTGACGTGAAGCCAAGCATGGGGAGTAAATTATAACGAAAAAGAAACCCAACATGAACAAAAGGTGATGCTCTACCAACAGTCCAAATGCCGCTTAAACAACTCCTCCTGTTTGTTGCTGAAAAACATCAATTGTGTCCTCATCCTCCATCTCCAGCTGAAACAAAAAGCAAGTTTTTACATCAGTCACACATACATTTTCACACTGTTAAGTGTTGTGACGACTAGATAAAATCAGTCATGGCTGAATTATGAGAATAAAAATAATTCCCTAGTATAAGTACTAATGTGAGGTTTGGCTTGCTGCGTGTTCTAGTTAGGATGGGTACTAGACTTTATAAGGGTTTGGTTAATTTGTGCAGAAAACTCGTCTTGAAAAACACACTGCAGAAGACAAGGGAACAGGAGAGTCCTGACTTCAGCTGCGAAGGAAATCGCTCTAATGACAGGCTGTGGAAGAGTGCGTAGGTATTGTAATCTTGCTGCTTTATGATCAAAGCGAGCCTGAAACATTTCCTTTAGAGCTTAGAAAATCATCTCCTTTAAAAGTTGCCTAACTGGGACATACAGAGTAATAGATGTAAATCCTGATTTTGGAAATACTACTACAATGATTAAAAGTAGGAAAGCATATTGGATTTTTGACCAGTGTTCAAAATGTTAAAATGTATCTGGCCGATACCAATAATTATATTTTTTCCCTAGATCTACTTACAGAGACTACATAGCTTTCTCTGCTGTGGAATTAAAATACTACATTATTCTGCATGGTCTTTGTCAATTTGACCAGATGCCAAAAAGGAGCTGAAAATGATGCAACACTTCAACTTGGATTATGTTTAATGTCAAATTTATTCATGACATTCACTCTCTAACACAATGACAACACTCGAACAGTGCAAGTTTGTACATCTTCACAAACCTAAACTCAACCTGTTCACAAGCGACGAGTGCATAAGTAATAGTGCATTAATAGATTACTTGATAGTTTCTTAAATTAAAAATGAACTCAAAACAGAAGCCTTTTATATTGATGAGGTTTTTTTTTTTTTTTTCTTCTTATGGATTGGCCGATATCCGATATTTAACTTTATCGCCAATATCGCCCCATACGATTCCATGCCGATAAGGTTGTGCATCTAATTAAAAGCATAGCAAGGCCTGGTGGAATGCATATTGCCTGCCGTTATAGAGATGTAGGCTACATCAAACTCCGGGTCAATATCTGTAAATGTGGCTGAGTTGTAGCCATCTTTGTGCAGACTAAGGTTCATTAGCTGTGACCATTTTGAATTTTTCATCCTAATTCAGTAGCACTTGTAGTATGTGTTGCAACTGGCCAAGCTACAACCACACCAAAATTTAGCACACGTCTAAAAATTGTTGTGCTCTTTAAGGTCAGCCATCTTGAAAGGAGTGAGTGCATCAGCTTGCAGTACATTGTGTTTTACCAACCTGTGCAGGTGTGTCCGTTTCATTTATTGGCTGTCCATCGAACCTAAACCTGATCTGACGAATCGACAGTCCCTGAAAGAGACAAGTTTGTTGACGTAACGGTGTCTCCCGTGAACAACGAGCACGTGTGTCAGCCTTTCCTGGTGGGTTTACCTGTCTTTCGCAGTATGCCTTCATGAGTTTGCTGAGGGGAGTGTGCCTTTTGATTTTGAACTGAACCACTGATCCATCCTGACCCGCCACCTTCAGGTTAATGTGGTCGTTCTCCGTCTTCACTCCTTCCTGCAACAAAAGCAGATCCACCGAACCGGACGATCAAAATGTCACATTGCTGTTTAACGAAACCACCACACAGAAAAATAATACGTGCTCCCGACCAGGAGAACGCTTTTATCGATTAAACCCCATGCACGCTGCTTTTGCTAGCGGTTAGCACAACAAGCTAACCGAACTGGCGCAGAGAGCCACAATGAATGGCGCAAATCACAGGACGAGATGGGGTTTTTTTTTGTTTGTTTGTACAAATTTAACCTTTTCAACGGTTACTCTAAAACATAACTTCCGTGGCTTCACATGGTGCAAGCGAGACTAAGACTTTAAGTAGAAGCTGCGAATACGGCAGAACTTGCGCTTAAAAGCCAGAACATCCGCAAACCTTTGTTTTCTAGTACCCGCTCAAACCGCCTGGCAGCAGGGCCAGCTTTTAGCGCAATGTGCTAACGTTAACTTGTCTAACCGACACCCCCGGCTCCGGACGGTGAACCCGAAACGCACGCTCCGTGGTTTAATAAAAACTCGGTACCGACCTTCGGCTTTTCTTCGGACATTCTGCCACTTTCTCCGGGTTTCTCTCGCTGACGTCGAGGCGCTGCTGTCGGTGGCGTTGCGGCTTGTTGTGTCGGCTTCTCCGGCTCTTTCCGTGCGGAGAGAAGGAGCGCGCGCACCCTCTGGTTTAAAGGCGATTCGACCAAAATGGTCACGTGTTCCACAGTTTTCGCGGGGCCGCGGACTCGTGAACGTGTATGGAAATTTGCGCACTCCCGCGCCATAAAGGCCTGTTTCCAAGAGCTGAGTGAATGTTTCCAAGCCATCCAGTCCAGGACAGCAGGTACTATAAAGCTTTACACTAAACCAGTAACCCCGCTGGGTACTAAATAAATAAAACACATGTGGAAAGATGTGGAAATTTGAGCTATTCAGGAACACGTCCCTGAACAACTACACCCACTCTAAACAAGACGATGAATGATATGTTGTAATCATGACTCATAATCTCCCAATTATGAAACGTCACTTCATAATTATGATGCAGCTCCTCATAGTTATGAGTTGCTAAATCATAATGTTGATGTGCCAAGTCATAATTATAAGATGCCCAATTATAATTTTAGGATGATCAGGAACTAAGTCATATGTGTCATAACTAAGTCATCATTTTGAGAGTTAATAAAGTACATTTTGAAATCTTGCTTTCCAGAATTAGGCGACACTTTTAGAAAATGCTCCATTTACTAAAATAATGTATTCTGTGATATGTGGAAGAACAAAGTAACTCCACAAACTGAGCATGAATGTAACAACAAAGTCCATCCAGGTTTACAATCCAGCATTTTTCAGTATGAGCATGAATGTGTTAACCAAATGGCTCGCTGTGCACATTTGCAGTGAAATATTAGGGATGTGCTAATTTCCAAACAAATGATGTTGTATTAAATGTCACTAAATCTCTTCTTTTATTATCAAATATATGTAAATCACACAGAAAAGTAACAAAAAAATGTGTTTTCTTCTTTTAATTTTTAAACAAACGATTACAATTTCAAAAGAAGCTGCACCAAAACCTAACATTTCATGTGTAATTTACAAGTGAATTAAACAGTGGTACTAAAACTAATAAAAGTTATTACCAGAATCAATTAACATGCTTGTTCTGACATCTGCTCTCCTTCATGAACAGAAAATACTATTAGCAAAAACACTCGTAAAATCAGTTTTAAGAAATTAGCGAGCCTCTTTCACATGTTAAAAATTGTAAAGAAAGTGGTGTTTTCCAAATACTGTCACACTAAAAATTAATGCACATAATCAAGTTGATCAAAAGGTACAGTACAGCTGCATCTCGTTGTTACTGGCATCAAAAAGACCTTCTGAAGGAATCATCGATGGAATTAACGATCGTCCATACGGGCGTATGGGTTGTCCTTTGCCAGACCTGGGAAAAAAGTTTAACATTATATTAATAAAATTTTAAAGCAGGTGAACGTTTTCAAAGGTTGTTCTGTTTTTATAAAGCAAAAAGTATAGTTTGAAATTAAAAATGAGTTTATGTGATGCACGTTTTGTCCAGTAGATGGCAGTATTTGACCATTTCTGTGACCTGACAAATGTTTTTTTTTTTTTATTATTTGTCCCTCCATGTTTTTTATACTTTTATATGCTAGATCTTTTCTAATCCAACATATTTTTGAACAGTACGTTTATTATTAGTTTGTTTCTGTTCAAAACGAACAAAGTCACAACAAATTTACCCTTATATTTCACATTTACACAATTAAAAAGCGCACGTTCAGGAGGCAAACCTCACCGTATTTCTGCCTGATTTCATCATGTCTCAGCTGTATCTCAGTCCTCCTGAAGATAAAAAGAACAAACTGTTGAAGAGTTGGTGTTTAAAAAAAAAGCTCAATCAGCACAAGGCGTTTCATTTTTATCCACCGAATCGCTGTTTCACATGTGGCTGAACAAAGACTGCGAATTGTGTGCATCTGAAAAAGCAAACGTCTGTACTGCTAGTCCATACTGATGGATTCAGTTCATTATTTGCTCTCTTTCTCCAACCTGTGTTAATAATGATTCATCTTGGCAGACACCTACTCAACAGCCATTCACCTCGCTTTCTGACGGGACTTCCTTCCCCGTTGTTGTCTCTCTGCTTGTTCGTCTTCTCGCTTGTTTCTATGAAACAAAAATCACGTATTTATATCCAAACGCTTCACATCTCTGTTTGTGAAAGCTCATTCAGTGAGTTCTAGAGGAACAAAACCTGAATTTAAATAAAGGAAACAGACAATTTAAGAATACGGTGCAGTCTGGATATGTCAGACAAAAATAGGCTCTCCTGATGATATGCTAAACTTTCAAGATTTGATCTAAACTAACCAACGAGGTAGAGTAAGTGTGTTGCATTGTTTCATAAAACATTCAGGGAACTTGTCAGATCTCAGTTCTGGCAGGCCTTTGGAGATGGCGGTATCAGCCTAGCCTTACAGAATAATAAGCCATTGTGTGCCCCCCCCCACACACACACACACTTCTTCCACCTCCTCCTCTAAACCAGATTTCACAGCCAGAGATTCATGTGACCCCGTGCTCACCCAGCTCTCTCACACTTGCAGCAGCAGCACAAGCAGCAAACGACAACCGAGACGACGACGATGCCGGCGAGCACCGACATGGTGATGATCAGGATCTGGAAGTTGACTGCGGATCAAAAGGGGAAAACAAAATTCACTCCAAAACAAATGGAACTGACAAAGAGCCGACGAAGATACTCAGTGAGGCGCGTTGCGGTTTTTCAGTGGAAAACGTGAACGATGACTGAATCATCATGTGTGACCCAACCAAGAGCTTCACATACGAACACAAATACAACAGTTGGCGCATTTACACTTAATCTAATACTTCATTTCACATAAAAAGTGACTCAAGCAGTATATCTGCCTATACGTTTAAAAAAGGATAAACAAATAAAAACAGCCAAAAGTGATGATTGATTGTATAGATGTGCTAAATTAGAAAAGGTTTGTTTGTAGCCATTGATCTTTGCATTATAGTCAAGTTTTCAAGCAAGCAGCCATTTTAAAGAGAGCAAGCACACTGCTGGTGTTGTGTGCACCGCACAACGTGTGGAGCAGAGAAAGCAAAGGCGAGAGCTGACTGAGCTTTCAGAAAGATTAGAGATATCCATGTTAAAGGTAAAGCCATCTAGCAGCTTCGTCTGACCCGCTTCCAATATTATTTAAAAAGTGCATGGTTCACAGGACTGTAGCCAGCCTTACAGGACAAGGACGCAAGAAGAAATGCGACTCCAGGGACGTCAAACGCAGTTACAAAAAGGGGGCCAACATTAAAAACTTATTTCAAAACCAAGGGCCACCTTCAGTCAATATGGTCTCCAGCCACCTGACATCTTTTCTTGGCTGCAGGCTCCTCAACAAGACTTTTGTCTGTTTCATTTGATGCTCTTTGTCACTTTTACTGCATCAAAATCAAAGATTATGGAAAAATTCAAGCTAGTTTCATTTGGCTTCCAAGTTGTCCAACTGTCACGAGAAGTCTCAACTAAAGTAGGCTCAGTTTTGAAGTAAAATGAAAAGCAATAAAAATATTTCACCTTTAAAATATGATCTTATAGGGGCCAGATGAGATGTTAACAAGAGCCATATTTGGCCCTCGGGCCTTGAGTTTGACACATGTGGTAGGTGATAGAAAAAGAAAAGCCAAGAAAACCACGCCAAAGAGATCTGATCACACCTATGGTTGTGTTTAGAAACAGAACGGGGCTCCATGGAGGAAGGGGGACAGAAAAATACTAAAAAAACCCAGACTGGATTCACCTAAAATCCACACTGGTGAGCACCCATGTTTCCGTGAGGTTTCTGGGACTGAAGTTTGTAGCTCATAGCAGTTATGGTTTTTTGATAATTACCTAAAATATTCTGCTACTGATATTAAGATGAATAGTTTGGCATGTGAAATGTCTAAAAAACAGTAAAAAATAAAATAAAATAGCAGTAAGCATGCGTTTAACGTACATATTTTAACCAAAGTAGGTTCACGTTTACCCCAGACATTTAAAAAACTTAAGTCTTACCCCAACAAACCCCCCACCGTGCATCATTCAGGGGGCAAACACTGCTGGGGGGCAGGATGTTCTTCACTGGGTAGTCCAAGCATTGTTTGGTTGTGATGCACCAAAGACACTGCAACACAACGAAGAAGAAAAAACACACAAACTCCTGACAACAACAACACAAAGTGGAGACTGTGTTGGACTGAACTGTGGAAAACTTACAGCCACAGTCTGCAGACACTCAGCGCACGTGCTGTTGGATTTCAGGTGACAAGGAGCTGAAATGGACACATATGTTGTGTGAATATACAAACAAGAAGAAAATAAAAGTTCAACTTGGTTTGTTGCTGCTTTATTTCCTGTGTAATCTGAGTAAGCAGAGGCTCGCATGAGAGGGGGAAAAAGAACAACAGACAACAAATACCCCTAAAAGAGTTGAATCGTTCCTCTAAATCCAATTTGCTGGTGTCATGTGACAACCTCCTGACCACACGCTCAAGTCAGCAAGAAAACAAACGCAGAAAACTCACCCGGAGACGGAGTGGGCGTCTGCGCTCCTGCTGCGGAGAAAACTGCGCAAAACACCGCGGCGGCGCAAACACAAGCTGCGGGGAAGCTGACCATGGTGGCTGGAGGGAGAAGGAAGGAGAGATGAGAAGCCTGCTGCGCTGAGGAGTCAAGGAAGAATGCTGGAGCGCTTTTACGAGGAGTGACGTCATGACGCACAACGCTAGGGCGCATCTGGCTGCAAATAACTTTATGTGGTAAAAAAAAAAAAAAAAAAAAAAGGTTGGATTTGTGTTGATTCGCTGCTTTTTACAAGCAGACATTTACACACCCTGCTTTGTTTGATGCAAACGTGGGGACTTTTACTAAATATGCAGATTCTATGTAATAACACACATTTATTTATCAATGATAACTTTAACATCACAAAGCTTGCGTCCAGATTATTTGCATTTTATCAGGTTTTGAATTAGCTATCTTTAGCTGTTGAGAAGCAACAGCAAATATTTTGACTTCATGAAAGACAAGCTTAACATATTTTTATGCCTGAAATTGCTGTGCAGTAACATTAGGACACTCCTATTTTTTATTTTATTGTTATTTTATTTATTATTTTACTTTAAAGTGCACGATCATTGCTTTTGGTTAATTTATATATTTATTTTTACGTTGGTTACGATCTGTCCTGTCTATTTCCAACCCCCACAGAGACCTGACAGCCTCATTCTGTTCATCATATTCTGCATGTCAATTTGATGCCTCTTGTAGCATCACAAGGTTGGTGCTGAAATCCTTTTTTATGGCTGCTAAATTGTGTTGAATTTGGTATTTTAGTCAATTTAACAAAAAAAAAAAAAAAAAAAGGAACAAATTGTGCCTTTGAGTCATGTCACCAAGATACTATAGCTTTCACTTTAGTTAGTTTCTAACAAAAAACATATTTATTTATTTATTTCCTGCAATGACCCAACACTTGTTAATTTCTCTTAGGAGCCTTTTTAATGTTATACCTAATAATTCTTTAGTGTCAAAATAAACAATTAAATTTTTAATTTTTAATTTTTTTTATATATAATTTCCCTCTGGGATTAATAAAGTATTTTTGAATTGAATTGAATTGAACCTTCTGACAATAAATGCGCTCTTAAGGAGATAAACAACCGCCTCCCATAACTGCTTCAAAATACTATTTTAATATTTTTTGTCAACAATAAACTAGTCATTCTTTTGAAGCTAACTCAGCCTGAAATGAAAATATTAAAATATATTTTTTTAATTATTATTTTAACTCATTTAACAGCTTTACAAAAAAATAAAAATAACTCCACAAGTGTCTGTTTTTATTTTCAAATTTTACAAATTATAATCTTATGAAAATTTAAATAATTAACTGAATAAATAACTAAATACATACAGTGCATAATGTAAAAATAATAATAAATAAAATGAGGCTGTATTTTGGGTCAAACTTGTTGCTCTTCACATCCAAAGTAAAACTACTTTGTCAGACAAGATGAGATCTAGAACTGCACGTGTCATCGGGAAGGATGAGCATCTCTTCTGGGGAAGTTGCAGTTTTTTTTTATTTACAGATGCGCTCAAATGTCAAAGTAGAGCATCCTCCAGTGGGCTAATATAAGAATTGAAAGAAGAATAGAGGTTAAGAAAACAGTTACTGGAAAAGAAACATTTTACAATATGTATCAGAAAATGCATTTATAATGGATTTCAATATGGTCAATTTTACCCCTAAGGATCACAAGAGGGCAGTAATGTTACAGGAGCGTTTAAAACAATTTTGACAAAGTAAAAAAAAAAAACTTTATAAGGGTTTTTAGGCTTTTTCAGGAATGATTGTGTTTACTAACACCTATAAAATAAAATTGTGACTATCCCCCCCATCAGACTTTCTGAGGTTTGTCAACTAGCAGTTAATCATTAGTTAATGTTTTTTCATGGTTTTGCCCACCCAAACCCTGAAAACAAACCCTCATAACATTAAACTTAAAAATAGACACTTACCATTTATTTTTTTCTCAGGGTTTTATATATAAAAACAACATTTTGTCATAACTGGCTCATTGTCTCAACATTAAGTTGCTCATTAGAAGACACAATAAAAGAAGAGATCACAACAGTAACTTTTGAAATACAATAATTTATTAAAGCATTTTTTTAAAATTCTGATATAAAACATTTTCTGAATTTTCTTCTTCAAAACAGTCAGAAATCCCAGAAATACAGTCATCATCGATGGGAAGGTGAGTCTCTGGTTCGGCCGCCGGCAGCTGACCAGAATGATTGGAGAGCGATGGAAGACAGAAATCTAACGTGAGGTAAGTACTAAGCTTGTTATGCTGACATCAAGTGACTGATTATGAACGGTAGGTCGGTGGACTTAATAACAGGAAAACAGTAAATGAATGAAATCACTCTTTAGTATGTTAAAAGTCACGAAAGCCCAGAATAAACAGCTTGTCCATCCTGAAGTAACATTTTGTGTCCTTGAAAGCACAAAAAGTTGAACAAGTAGCAAAACTTGCATCTATGCAATTTATCTCGTTTTCTCAAATCCATTGAGTTATTTTATAAATAAATACCTCACCCTCGCATGGTTGCTGACACCACTAAAATCTAAAGCAAACACACGCAAACTAGTCACAAGTTCAATTAAATGTTGTCGACTGGCTTGTTTTTTAAAACACATGCTTAAAGTTTGGGGTATTTTATAGAGATACATTCAGCTCATGCTGGTTCTGGGTTAGAAGCACAAATATTTTATTAAATAGTAATATTAATAGTCAAAGAGTATTTTTTTTTTATGTTTAATTTTAATTTTTAGATTGGTGGTGTCCAAGCTTTTTCACGGTGGGCCAAAATCGTCAATTTGAAAGTACTAATGAAAAATACTTTTTAAATTAGGTAAAGGTTTGTGGCTTTTAAAAAATTTTTTTAACATGAAACTGCAATTAAAAAAAAGAATGAATTAAAAAAAAATTGTATTTAATATTGCACATTTTAGGAAGATTATTTCCTCTTTTGTGTTAAAACTAAAAATTACAAAAATGTCACCCTTAAGAAATTTATGCATCTGGACACCTTTTGCAAATTTTAGATCTGCGGGCCAAAAATTATATAATTCCTAAATTGCAGTCGCGGGCCGCACAAAACCACTCAGAGGACCGCAAATGGCCTGTGAGCCACACTTTGGACACCCCTGATGTATGTGTTTTTGTGGCATGCGTACAAAACAGTAACAATTACACACAAGTTTGTCTTCTGCTTCTGCAAGGCCACATCTGCTCTCCACGTAGCTATAAGGCAAGAATAGGGACATTTCTTTTTTTTACCCTGAGGGACTCCATTCAGGAGAACATTCATTACAAGGGATCGCAATATTTACCAGAAAAAACAAGCATTAAAGGTGCTAATTCAGTCAGTGTGCAGCACTTACGGAGATAACGTCTGAGTACATGTTTATGGGAGGTTTTTTTTTTTTTTTTTGGTAATTTGGGAGTGAAAACATTTCAAGTTGTGGCAAAAGTTTCGCCAGACTTGGAAAAATAATACAACAAAAATACACATTTCTTTGTGAGTACTGTGTGGAAATGACCAGTGTAACCAACTAGAGCAGGGAACATATTTGGAGACGGTGAAGAAGGAAGCAACACTCGGAAGATCCAGAGGGGAAACAAATAAAAAATAAAAACGTGTTTTCCATTCTGTATTGAAAGATTTCCTCCTGGATGGAGATTGTTCGTGTTGCTTCATGGCTCAAGTCAAAACCTCCACTCCAGAAATCATACTGCGACGCCTCGAACACATCACCTGATCCAGTTGGTTCCATAACTGGACACAGACTTGACACTGCAGCGCTTCTTCACGATCATGTTTATGTAGGCTTTCATGATCTTTGTGATCTCTCCAACCTGCAAAACACCAAAGCAACAACCATAAATCCCACTTACACAGCGAAAAGTTAAACATTATTGTATGGGTTTAAAAAAAAAAAGTCCACCTCTGGTGTCTCAAAGAACATTTCTCTCTCGTCCACGGTGATCTTGTAAGTGCACGGCTGTGGAGCACCGAAGAAGACGATGTGCTCATACGGGAAGGTCTCCAGAGGCTTAGGCTCTCCTCTTTTGTAGACAGACACGTTCTCAGCACTCACGCTCAACCACAGATCATGAGGGAACCCTCCTTCTTTACACTGTAGAGACAAACATGAGACTCATCACACGGCTGTAGAAAAACTTCCTGCTTGGAGATTTAGAAGGCGCACCTCAACGTCAAACAGAGTGGATCCATATCCAGGCCACTCCTTGATGATGGTCATGTATTTCAGCATGGCCTGGTGCTGATCCAAAGCCTTGAGGCGAGACCACTTCTCCACAATGCTTGCCCTGGTGGCAGACATCTCCTCCTTGATCCACATCTCCAGCATCTGCTCCTCCTCCATGCGCTGCTTCTTCATGGAGCCCGTCTTCAGCCCCCGGCGCAGCGTGTTGTCCAGGAAGCTGGTCCTCCGCCGCTCCAGAGTCTGACCCGACCCTGATGCCCCGCCTGCTTTTGTGAATTGTAGGATTCGATTGCGCAGGCGCCCGACAGGGTAGACGCTCTCCAGGCTCCACGTGACCCGGGCTTTGTCCCCGAACAGGAACTGCAGGCGCAGAGCTGCCAGGTGCTGCAGGGTCTCTTCACGAGCAGGGAAGTGACCTCGGGTCAAACTCTCATGGGCCTGATTAAAAAAAAAAAAAAAGATAAAAAGGAATAACTTATCATTTAAATCTACTTAAATGCTTAAAATAATTGAAAATAAATCCAACAAACCTGCTCAAACATGAATGCAAACTCCACTCCTTCCTTAGGCATGCTTTCCACATCCAAGAAACAGTAGAGTTTGAAATACAGCTTCCATTGGCCTTCATCCTGAGCTTCCTCACTGCCAGCCAGTCTGAAATGGGGGGGGTGGGGGGTGGGGGTGCATAAATCTGTCACTCAAGCTTCTGATGTTGTCTAATTGTCTAACACCATCCTCATGTCATTATCATCATCCAAACATAAATGTCCGTGTACCTCTAAGGTGTTTGAATCACACCCAAACTGAGATTTCAGAATCAAGATTTACGATTAAACTACTAACCCATGTGGTTACGAGGGAATAAATCATACCTTTCGAACTTGGCCAACACGTCAGCCACAATGACTCTACTTTCCACGGCTTTGTCGACAGCGCTGTTATGCTCAAAGAGAGCAAACATGTTCCTGCTGTCCTCCATGGCCAGACCTCGGATCAGCTTCTCCACGACCTGACCAAGATTACAAACACATGTTCAGCAGGCACCACTGTGGCGTTTTCTTCTCAAAGACAAAACCAAATATGAGAAAAGCTTTTTTTCTACACAGAGGCCTCCAGGCGGTTCACCTCTCCAGCAGTGGTGTTGGAGTTGATGGAGATCTTGCAGGAGCCTCCTCCATGGCAGTAGACTGTGGTGGTCATTTCCTGTCTGGTAAGAAGTGCCATGATCTCCTCTTGGGAAGGAACAAACTCCCTCGCCTTTGTCTTCTTAAGAGACTCCCCGATGAAGTGGGCAAACATTTCAATTTCTGTTCCGGGGAACAGCTCCTTAATCCTGCAGAGAAACACACGTTTGAACCAAACGTTCACCTTTCAGGGCTTTGTTTCTGTGCCCAAACAGATCTGGACCTTTTCAGGTGGAACTTGAGGTAGCGCAGGATTCCTCGGCTTGGCAGGAAGGTGCAGCTCATGCAGGCCAGGAGATGCCAGTGGGCACGATTGGCGGGGCTGTTGGGGTGCGGGACGTGGTTTGTTTGTTTGATGAGTTGACAGTAAACCTCGTCCCTTAGTGGCCTCAAGTCTTGGCAGGTCTGCAGGATTCCCTGGATGATGGGCACGGGATCGGACACGGCCTCCATCTCCTGCAGGGAGTTGAAAATCTTCACCGCCTCGTCCTGCAGGCTCGTATAACCCTTTTCCTTTTGCACTGTTGGAGATAGAAACAGCTAAATTGATACTTTTCTGGTAAAAGAGTTCAATTGCTGGCACGATCAAAGTTACCATATTTTTCACCCTATAAGTCTTTTTTTTTTTTTTTTTGGCATAATTTGCATGCCCTGCAACTTATACACTGCAGTGACATATTTAAAGATTTTTTTTATTTTTTATAAACCACTTTATGGCTGAGATATGACCGTTTTTATTCATTTTGACTGAAAATATTGAACACTACCATTTTCAGCCACTAGATGGCACTCGAGCAGTATGGCATGCCATTGTGTCATGTAATAGATAAAAAAGTGGCTATTAATGACGCAATCGGCTTGCCATAACCTCCCACCTTCCTCCAGCTTGCCTGGAGCAACCGTCAGATCAGCTTCATTTCGCTGTGCCGCCCTGCAAAATGCAGCTAATTTGACCATTAAAGTGCATTTATTAAGTAACGGTTCAACTGAGACACACCTTTGCTATAAAGTCGAGCAAACAAATAATTGTTTTAGGTGCTTATCTTGTTAAATTTTGAATAAATGCACAGCGAGTCGTTCCTCTGCATGCTCCCGCAGCCGCAAATCAGCTTTTGAAATGCAGCTGATTTGACCGTCAAATTTATTAAAGAAAAGTTACACTGAGACATAACTTTACTATAATTTCGGGCAAACAAATAATTATTTTTAAGTGTTAATCTTGTTAACTTTTTGTTACAATCCTCCCGCGCACATTCCCGCCATTTGGCAGCCAATCAATTTTTGGCGCAACACCGGCCCACATTTCCAGATTGTCAGCGATGACACAATAGATGTGACGTATACGGCGAAGAGACTTATTTATAGATTTTTCCACTTTAGTAGACATATTTGGATTGATGAGACTTATAGGGTGGTGCGACGTGTACAGCGGAAAATACGGTAATATATACCAACAGACTCAAGTAACTGATAAAAGAAATACACGTTCTCAAAAACGCATGTATAAAATCGTAATCTTGTGTTCAAATAGCCAAAATGTTGTAAAGAATGTAAACAAACAAAACAAAACCAGAATGACTGACACGGATGTTCATTGGATATGTGTATGACCTTGTACATTTAAGGCAGTCTTGCATTAAAAATATACATTTCTGTTGAACAAATCACTGAAACCGCCTGAGAACAAATCTGAAAATAATTTAAACCTCTACCATGCCCTTAAATGAGCGACTATATCAGGAGCAGCAGTAGTTTTTTGGCAGCCAGTCAAAGCACTCACAGTGGACGCTGACGTCTCCATAAGGCAGAGGTAGAAGGGGGGAGTGCAAAGGATGCTGGGTATATCGCAGGATGGGGTTCCTCCAGTACGTCTGTTCCACGGCCTCCACATTCAGGCTGCTCTCCTGCAAACAAATATTGGTAATCTTAGACTATTGATAGTTTAGAAAATTAGTTTTTTATTTCTTTAAAGAGGGGGAAATTAATTTCCAGTGAGTTTTTGTGTTAAAAAAATAATAATATTTGCATTTTCTGGGAAAAATGAAGCGTGGATGCTGAGTGTTGAATGACTTTGCAGAAGTTTTCTGAACAAGAACTGAGTTGTTGAAACTGTTAAACAAGCAGAATGATTTCTAAAAGCTAAAAGGAACTAAACGCGCTGAAAACTAATAGGAGTTAGCTAAAAAGCTAAAAAAAAGGCATAAGAAGAAATAAATAGAGCAAGTTTACTGAAGCAGATTTCAAGGATAACCATGTTTTGAAGGCACTGAGATCTTAATGCATTAAAATAGGAAAGATTTGTAAATAAAGTTGTATTTGAGAAAAGTTATAAAAAAGCAGAAGTCATAGCACCCCTCTTCTGTTTAAGTTGAACAATATAATACAGAAATGGCAAAAAATAGGGTAAAGTATGCAGATGATGTTTGCATACTTTGCAAAAAATATAAAAAATCAGGGAAACAAGTATTACTGACACAGTGTCACTGCAGTACAAACCATAGAAATGGCTGAAAAAGCCTAGAAAGTTTTCACACATCACAGCACACGGTCAGTGTACCTCACTTTACTACAGTGTGGGTCCCTGCCACAGGTTTGCATGACTAAAAAGAATTTAGGTCACAATAATGTCAACGTCCTCGTGTTATTGAAACATTTGGCACAAATAATCATGAAAAACATGCTGCACACATTATTAAAAGCAGAAAATGTACAACTCAAGACGTCCACACAGCTTCGCCTTATCACCTTGATGTCTCTGATGAGTTGCTGAGTTGGTGTTTCGATGGGAACTTTGTTTTCTATTACTCCCTGAATGGCATTCGCCCACCGCATGGCTTCATTCAGCAGTTTCGTGTAAAGCCGGTACGAGTGTTTACGCCCATAAATAACTATATTCCAGTAACCTGGAAGAAAAGGGACACAAATGACATCAGAATAAATGCCTGGGTGAAGTTAGGACACTTCTACGCAACATTAACCGATTTCTGGCGGACCAGGGTGACTGAAGGACGTTAAAACTGACCCGTGTCCTTGAAGGTTTTCTCATCGGGCTGCACCACGGAGCAGAGGCTGTTCAGGACCAGCGTTCCCAGTTTCGTGGCGTTGCGCTCAGACGACTTGTAGTAATCGAGGGAGTTTGTGGTGAGAACAAACCAGCGCTTCTTCAGCTTCAGAGATGTGCTCTTGGCTCCTGACTTCATCTCTTTATGCAGCCAACCTTATATATATATAAAAAAAAGGCATTAACATGTTGATTTCTATCTGAAGCCGACTTCTTATTTTAATTAAATCAACTCAAAGTTGAGACGGACCTCTGACTAAGAACTCCTGTCCATCAACTCTGGTATCTCCCTTTGATTTCTGCAGCAGGCCGATCCAGTGGTGCATCTCCTCTGGCGTGTCTGTATTACAGTGGATCACTCGGTTGGCTGTGATGATCACAAAAGAGTTCGGTCTACAAAGACAGAAAAAACATTTGTGTTATTTTCTCTTAATGGTTAAATCCGTCCAACATTCAAAGAGTGGTTGGGCTCAGGGAGCATTCCTCACCTGTCCGGGTTATCTGACGCACAAACAGAATCGATCAAACCGACGTCTAATGTTCCCTAAATGGAAAAAAGTAGAGGTGTAAATGAAATTATCCGCCCTTTAAAGCAGAAAGTACTCCCCTTTCGACGAAACGAGCTACGGATTCAGATTCTTAAGGTATAATTACAATACAACCCCAAATCTGGGCTGTCATATTTTAAGCAGAATCAGTTACGTTTCTGCTCTGCTGGAGGAAAAGAAAGAAAAAAAAAATCAGCGGAGTGGTGGAACCGCACTAACCACAGCATTCTTTGGGTTGGCTTGTTCGTGGTGCATCTCCATGAGCTGCTCCGGGCTGGCGCTGTGGACCCGACTCAGCACAATGAACCAACCGCTGAACGGGTCAGAGGGAGTTGAGAAAGCAAAAGTCAGCAAACGCATAATTGAAAATTGCACCACGAGCTTCCATCCGGCGGCCACAAGGGGGAACTTCAGTTCCACACGTCAGGAAAAAGGGCACAAGCTTACCTGGCGTCTTCAGGGGACTCTGCGTAGATGTGGTAGGTCCTCTCCTCAGTCACAATGTTCAATGCGTTTTCCTTCTCGTGATTGTCCACTATCTCCCTGCACATCAATATCATCTCATTTACTATCACATACTCTTTTCGCATCGAAACATGGCAGTGAATTCAAGCGTCCTACTTGGCTGCTCGGATATCGATGGTCCCTTTCAGCTTCTCCTCGCTGTCATTCTCAAAGTATGTGAGCTTCGACTCACGCAGGACAAACCAGCGCATTTTCCAGTTGCGGCGAGACAAAGTGGACATCCCTCCTCCTTTCTTGTAAAGCCAGCCAGATTTGAGGGAGTCCTGCTTGGCCCGGAACCACATGAACGTCTCATCTTTGAGGACACACCAGCGGCGGCGCCATGGGATCATGAGGCCACCTGACGTGGAGAGAAAGATGCACGTCTGTTTGGTTGCAAGCTCTGAAGCAGACGACTGGGCAGGGATTTGCTCCAGATACTCACTCTTCATGTAGAGGTAGCCATGGAAGTATGGAGGCCCGCTGCCATTCAGCAGATTCACTCTCCCGTTGGAAATCTCCTCATCTGTGTCCACGTAGCCGTCGTTTTCATCGTCACTGTCAATGAACTGAAACATAGCAGCATCATGACGTTAAAACTGTGGAGCTGTTCCTCGGACACTCACCAAACATCCCTGTAGGAGACTCTGAACCGCATGCTTCTTGATATGCTCATTAGTTATTAATAAACGGGGGGGAAAGCTGCAAATATAATAGCAGTTGTAGCCATTTTGAATGAACAATGTCAAAGTTCTGAATATCTGTTGATAAATTTTACTTGAATATTGTGAAACGGAGTGAGTTGTAGACATTCTTATGTTGAACAATCTTGATTAGCTGTGGCAGCCACCTTAACTCAGATTGGCTCCAAAAGGTAAACAGTTGTAGATGTACGTCCAAAGCTTCCTCTCTGAAAATTTCATTAGAATCCATCTGGTGGTTTAGGAGAAATTTTACTAACAGACAAACATGGTTGCCTTCTAGTATTAATGTCATAGGTTTTTTTTTTTTGTAACAATATCACAAAATGAGTAGCACTTGTAGTATTTTTGGTAATGACCCTCAGCTACAATTACAACAAATTTTAGCTAAATATCTTTACAACTATCTGATTTATATCTATGTTTGTGCTTTTTAGGCTCTGTTGTCTGTGGTGGCCATCTTGATTTAGATTGATTCCAAAAGGTAAACCATTGCAGCTGTACATCCAATGATTATTTTCTGCAAATTTCATTCAAATTAATCTAGTGGCATATTATATATTTTGCTAACAGATGCACATGCATAGGAAAAAAAAACAGCATTGCTTCTTGCCTTTAGCTGCAGACAATAATTATGTGAGCGACACTTTTAGTGTACATTGAACTAGCAACATCTGCACAAATGTGCATTTTCAGTGCCAAACTGCATTAAATCCAGTACATCGATAGAGATGCAGATTTGCAAACTACGACAACATATTTTATTTTCCTCTGACATTTTGCTGATCTGACAGTGTTGGGCTTGAGCTCTCTACTTGACTTGCAGAATCTGTGATCAGACTCATCAGGAGAGCCAAAAAAAAATTTGATTTCAATATTTTTATTTTTGTTCCCCTAACATGAACTGAGTCATGTTAAATTTCTCCACGTGGGGTCCCTTCATTTGGCACAGATACTGACTGAACTCTCTCAGAACCGCGGATGTATGGGGTGTCGTTTGTAAAGTTACACAGTCAAAAATAAACATCAGTATTTTGGTTAATTTAGCCTTTAATAAGAAAAAAAGTTGTTGTTTTTTTCAAAGTCATATTTTCACTATGTTATTCATACATTTATAAATGTCATAGTTCTAAACTAAATATTTAATTTACAAGCCAAGTATTGAGTTTATTAACTAAATATTTAACTTGCAAGTTACAGTAAATATTTAATTAAACTAAATTAATTGAACTAAATATTAAGTGTAAATTAAATATCTAATTTTCACACTAAATATTTAATTGCCAGACAAAATATTTAATTAGCTAACTAAATATTCAACTTGCAAGCTAAATATTTAGCTTGCAAGTTAAATATTTAGCTTGCAAGTTAAATATTTAGGTGAGTTAAATAATTAGTTGGCAAATTAAATATTTATTTTTGAAATTAAATGTTTAGCTTAGAAATTTAATATTTAGCTTGGAAATTAAATATTTAATTTACAAACTAGATATTCAGTTTACTAACTAAAAATTTAGTTAGTAAACTAAATATTTAGCTTGCAAATTAAATATTTAGGTGAGAGTTCAATGATTAGTTAGCAAATTAAATATTTATTTTGAAATAAAGTGTTTAGCTTAGAAATTAAATATTTAGCGTGTGAATTAAATATTTAATTTACAAGCTAAATATTCAGTTTACTAACTAAACATTTAGTTAGTAAACTAAATATTTAGCTTGCAAATTAAATATTTAGGTGAGAGTTCTATGATTAGTTAGCAAATTAAAGATTTATTTTGAAATTAAGTGTTTAGCTTAGAAATTAAATATTTAGCTTGTGAATTAAATATTTAATTTACAAGCTAAATATTCAGTTTTCTAACTAAATATTTAACTTGCAAGTTAAATATGTAGTTAGTAAAGTACATTTTTAGCTTGAAAATTAAATATTTAGTTTGGAACTATGACATTTATAAATATATGAATAACATGGTGAAAATATAACTTTGAAAAAACAACATTTTTTTTTCTTATTAAAGGCTAAATAAACCAAAATATTGCTGTTAATTTTTGGCTGTGTAACTTTACAAACGGCACCCCATGCAGATGTTTCTCCAAGCAGGTTCCCTTTTTGCATAATAATTAAGAGTGTGATTTTGCACAGATTAAATCACATTGCTGTTTCTCACCGAGTCCGAGCTGCCTCTGAAGGAGTCCAGACTGTTGTGGGTGCAGGAGGATTCTCGCAGCACCTCCTCATCCGTTAGATGACCGTCGATGATGCTGGCAGCAGAGCTCCCATGAGCCTCCTCGAACTCTTCCTGGTCATAGTCCGACTCTGCGTCTGGAAAGTTTGAGTGTGATGGCCCCTCCTTCATGGGTTTAAAATCTGAGGCTCTTCCTCCATTAGTTAACACATGTGGAGGTGGAGGGGGGCAGGTCTGGGAGTGTGTTGGAAGATGATCCAGTCCGTTAAGGGTGACTGCAGAAGGTGGGGAGACCACTACTCCCCCTGCAAAAGCAGGTGGAGGAGGGGGGATACTTTGAAAAACATCCCTGTCAAGAGGAACCACAGCTGGAGGAGGAAAGTCAGGTAAAGGAACACACTCGTCCTCTGTGGGGAAGCCCTCATCCACCTCCTCCTCAGCCAGAGGAGCTGTAGATTCATTCGACTCGTGGAGGTTCTCCTCACTTGAGAGCGACGGCTCCAAACCACCGAAGTCCAGCAGCTCCAGGAACTCAGTGGCCACACGTGAAGCTTCCTTCTCTAGCCTGTAGATCTCAGCATCCCTCATCTGACGCAGCTCCTCCTGGGAGACATCCCCGAGTAGGGACACGCCGTCCTCCTGCTGCTTCTGCAGGCGCTCGATCTCTCTTTCGAGCCGCAGGATCTCCTCCATCTGACGACTCTCCTCCTCAGTGGTGTGGCTGTAGGACAGCGTCTGGCTCAGCTCCTTCTGTTGGTCCGACAAGTAAAGAAAATTCATCAGTCTACAAACACACCATAAATTCAAAAAACGGCGTCCCTTAAAAGACTGCATGTCACTTGCTGCCTTTGATGTCAGAGTTTTAGACTAAAGTCATTTTATGTTGATGAATGACAAAAGTGAACCTTGAAAATCACCCTAACATCTTGCATGATCTGTGAGTGCGTGGTGCATGTCTTATAAATGACTATAAGCCACTAACACGCCAAATTTTAGCTCAATGTCTGTAAAATTTAACGAGTTGTAGATATTTTAGTGTAGGATTCAATTCAATTCGATTCGATTTAGTTTATTCATACAGCGCCAAGTTACAACAGAAGTCATCTCAGAGCACTGAACAAAAACATTCATATACATAAAAATTCAATCAGTAACATTATTTCCTTGCAGTCTCCTGAGCCTGAGCAAGCACGAAGGCAACAGTGGAAAGGAAAAACTCCCTCTTAACAGGAAGAAACCTTTAGCAGAACCAGGCTCAGGACAAGCGGCCATCTGCTTCGACCGGATTGGTTTGAGAGGAACAAGAAGGAGGAACGGACACAGAATTGCAGGTCCAGATAAGGCAAAGTAGCTGCGGCAGCCATCTTGAACTGGCTTGACTCCAAAATTGAATCAGTTTCTGAACAATTCTTCAATAATCCGTTAAGTAGTTTGAGATATTCTTCCAAATACTAATGTCAAAGTTTTAAGCAAACATGTTGTGCAATGTGTTGCACTCAAAATATGTGTTGGGGGTGATGCTCACCTACTACCACCTGAAGCTTCAGCCCATTATCTGGAAAATTAACTGCGTCAGAGCCAACTTCGTGATTGCTAAAACTGTTTTGAGGTGGTGGCAGATTGAATTAGTTTGAGTCTGAAGGTTAATCAACTGTAGATGTTTTATTAGAAATGTTCAGTGATCCATGAGATATTTTGCTAACAGTACAGACAAACAAATGTGTGTGCACGCTGACACCAGCAGGAACATCATTACACCACTCAGTCAAATAAATCTAATTTAAACAGCGGAAAATAAAGCAGTTACCTTTTGACAAGCCCCATTCATAAGGGAGGTCCTAAAGACAAACAACGAAACAGAACGAGTCAAATATAAAGAAGACAAACTTAATTTTAATTAAACAAAAACTTTATACTTCACCTCATTTTATCTTCTTTAGCTGCCGATTTCTGCTCCTCTTCTTTCTCCTTAATCAGCCTCTGCTCCTCCTCTTCCCTCAACCTCCTCTCCTCCTGTTCCTTCTTCCTCCTCTCCTCCATCCTCCTCCTCTCCTCCTCCTCTAGTCGCCGCCTCTCCTCCTCCTCTCTCCTCTGCCTCTCCTCCTCCTCTCGTTTCTGCCTCTCCTCCCTGAGCTTGCGACAGAGGGACCTGGCGAGCTGGCCCCTGCGGTGTTTCTGCAGGACGACGGCGGCCAGGCGCAGGCGCAGGAAGGCGCGTCTCCAAAAGTGAGCGCGGTAGTTCTTCTGGATGGTGACCACGCTGGACAGAATCCTCTTGTATTGTTTCCTGACGGGGGAGACGACACGTTTATTTGTTTCTGCTGCACCATAAACATATCGTGAAGTCTTTACATGGTCATGCCTGCTGAATGAAAAGCCTGTACAAAGTGAACTGTGCCGTGTTTAGAGTCGGACCAGCTTGCGCCGTCCCTTCGTGGTGGTGTGGGCTGTTGTGTTTAGCCCTAACACCCACACACAGCGCATGCATCAAATACACACACTTATAAACACATTTTTCTCAGGACCACACACACGGTTCTGACCTTTCTCCTGACCCGTCTTCCACAGGAATCGCTGCTTCGACTGGACTGAAGACTATGAGCCGATATATTGTTACATGTAATAACACAAAGGCTTTACTTGTGTCTTTAGGGAACTTCCCGAGGTTCTGCCTTCAGTATGAGCGACCCAGAGGGGAAGGAAACCCACAACCTGAGTGCTGTCGTCAGGCCCATTATAGTCTCCCAGCGGAGCTTTTCCGAGGACTGTATGTAACCTTATATATGACTGCATACAGGTGGAGTACAGTTAGATTAAACGCCTGAGGGAGTCTGCATGTGCAGATGTTTAACTACCATCAGGAGGAATGTTCAGTCTGGCAGGCCGAGCAGAGAGAGAGGAGGGGACAAAAACTTGTTGATCAGGCGGAAAAGATGCATATTCATAGAAGAAATCTGTATCAGCGGTACTTCTGAAAACACAGCAGTAATTTAAAGCTGCATTCATGTTCACAGATAATTCTGTCCTGTCAGGAAAGGAGTGTTCTCAATAATAATAGTCAAGAAGAGACAAGCGGGATCAAACCGTTTAGACTTCTTTTCTGAAACTCCTTCAATTTTTAGATGCAGTTTTATGCAGACTGGTGAACCCCTGCCCATCTTTACTTCTGAGAGATTCAGCCTCTCTAAAATGCTTTTTTTATATCCAGATCATCTCCCTCCAGTTTTCGCTTCTCTCCAGTGGCTCCCTGTTAAATTCAGAACAGAATTCAAAATCCTACTACTAACCTACAAAGCCATCAACAACCTAGCTCCATCTTATATTAGAGTTCTTATTGTTCTAAATTTTCCTAACAGAGCACTTCACTTTCAGACTGCAGGCTTACTTGCGGTTCCTAGCAATCCAAAAAGGTAGAAGTGGGTAAAGATATGGATGGATGAGTTGAATTGAGTCCTCTTACTGACCTGCTGCCAATTAACCAAATTATTTGTGAGTTGTGTTGATGCCATCAAATTCCAAATGACCTTATTAATAAAAATACTTGTACACTTTCTTAGTTCCAGCTGTTCACTCTGCTCCACTGTGAAATAGATTTTGTGTTTTGCAATTTGCAAACCATTGCGCTCTTTTTATTTACATTTTACACAACGCTCCAGTTTTTCTGGTGTACAGTAAACCAAAAGCTCTGCGTTATTCCTATTTATTCGAAGCGATAAGATCGTGCAGAAGTACTTTTACTCCATTAGATTACGAGGGAGTGCGTCAAGTGTCCTGTGATTTGTGTCAAACCAGCAAAAACAGTCAACAAGCAACCGCCGGAACTCGTTAAGTCATTTAAATCTCCTTTAAAAAAATAATCACAACAGTTTAAATTCACCTGAAAAGTTTTCAGTAGACTCAAATTAAACCGTGAAGTCATTAAAATCCATCCACTGAATCATCCCATCCGGTCATTGCAAAGATTATTGGCAAAGTTTATGTAATCAGTTAAAGAATCGGTTGGAGATCAGCTTTAGCTACTTCCACTGTTGCTGTTGAGTCCAAGAGTGATTCAGCTGTAGATGCCAAGTGAGGACTACTTTCTGTGAGATATATTTTGCTAACATAAGCAAAAACATTCCTAAGGCTCGGAGGATCGAGCTGTCAGTATTTAAAGTGAAAACCAGTGATTCAGCAACAACAGACACGTGCACACAGACCAAAAAGGAAAATCTGCAAAGTAGCTGTGATCCCACAGCCCCCACCCCAAGGATACACACACCTCCACCACAAAAACAAACACAGACAACTGTCACTGCCACTCACCCCCCTCCCCCTCCCCTCACTCACCTTGCCACATAGCTGAGGATGTGGGCGCGGATCACCATGCCAGCCCTGCGCCGCACCTCTCCCCTCTCCTTCTCCAGCCTTTGCTCCAGCGCCTCCTTCAAGAACACCTGCAGGTCGAGCCGATGAGGAGGGTGAAGGAGATACAGAGATGGGGAGGAAGGTGGGGAAAGAGGGAGAGGATGGGAGGGGGGTGCAACAGGATGAGTTAAGTTCCTCCTCTTGGTATGGCTGTAAAAAAAATAAAAACCAGGCCCCACAGAGATGAGAAGGGCCCCTGTTTTCTGCTGGCAGCTCCCAGTTGGCCACTGCAGAGGAGGAGGCTGTGGTGCAGCTGAGGCTAGCAGACTAGAGCTGCCCCCCCTCCCTGCCTGCAGAACAGAACAGACAAGAAAACTGAGTCTGTGGCTGCAGCCTTTCTGCTAGTGCTGCTGCTGCAGATCCACATCTTGCCCGAGCCTCCTTCCTGAGCCCTCTGCTGCTTTCAACTGACGTGCACAGGCAGAGAGGCACAGGGCGAGCAGGGAGGGGAGAGGAGGGATGATGGAGGGATGTGAGGGGGAGGGAGAGTGGCTGGTGTCCAGATAGAAAACCACACCTCTTGTTGCTTTTATGGAAGGAAGGAGGGGGAAAGAGTGGAGTTAACCCTTCCCTCCCTCCTTCCTGGAAACTTTTTCCAACCCTGGCACGTCTCAGCACAAAGCAGCTTGTCTGATCGTGGGCTGCAGCGTCCCAAATGCTCCCGCGTTTGTGTCCCAGATGTCCCACGAATAATCAAAGGGTCCCACAGCTGCCACTGTAAAAGTCTGCAAGAGGAGGAAGCTTCCTCTCCGTCCACATCCTACCCTTGTCTGTAAAACAAATGGCTCACAAACACACACACACACACACACTGTATTTGAAAAACATCACCTTAATCCTGGCCACACACTTCCCCTGCACACAATCAGTGCATATATAATTACACCACAAAGGAAATGTAGACCCTTTTCCTACCCCCGCCCCCCCCAATAAAAAAAAAATACTGTATGCTCTGAAAACCTTTCCTCTTTCTTTTAGTGTGCACACGGAGCCAGCCAAAGGTCAAAGTTTAACCCACCGAGTGACCTCAGATGTTCAGTGGTCATGCCCCAGTTACACACACACGGCTCACACATCAAACATTTCTTTTTATTTTCATCTCGGCGTATATTTCAGCACTCAGTCAACAACAAAAGTGTCCGAACTGGAACCAGCAAATCTGAGAAGTCTCACAGGAACCACAACTGAGAGCAGGAAGGAACGGGAGGTCAGACCATCTCAAAAGAACTTTATATCCTTTCTTTCTGCTTTACACTGATGTTTTTTAACGCACGGAGTGGAAAAAAGCTCAGGTTTTGCCAGTCAGTGAATGGACTGATGTTTGTTTGAACAGAGGAGGCTGACGAGCTCCAAACTGATAAATCTCGATGGACTTTTTAAATGACTCTTCTTCAACGCTGCACAGCTGCAACTTGTCAGATGTGCAGCCTCGCCCACACGTCTCCCCTTCTGAGTGCAGTTAGTTTAACGAACAGCTCGGCCAGTGAGGGATGCGAGAGCTCCAGCTACAATCAAGATTACTGTAAACCCCGGCACTGGGTTACAGTAACGGTGACGGGGTTTTTACGGGAAGCCGAGCGATTGTCAACAAGAGAGCGACAACTTGACCACAAATCTTTGGGATATTATGTCAAAGCGGTCGTGGTACACATTCACAGCTTCTGATGGGACTTTTCAATCAATGTTTGGCCACAAAAAAATCATGAATTTCTCAAATCATTGCATCAAACTAGTACTTATTGAAAAACTCTGTGTCATGTACATATATAAACAGCTAAATAAGGATGTTGTTGAACATGCTGCTGACTGATAATGACGAGTGCAGTTTACAGTTTTTTTTTTTAATTTTATTTTATAATTTTGACCAAAGATGAAAAGCTAAGTTAAATGGTAAGTTCAGATCTTTTGAAATGTGAATCTCATGAGCAGTAAATATCTCACCTGTTTTAGATAGAGCTTTGAACAGCCTGATTTTGGAGAAACAGAGTTTGATTTGATTGGTTTGATGAACTAATAGTTAGCCTGAGCTGAAAAAAGAAAGTTTAAAAGCCTTTATACCACTAGAAGTCACTGAATGACGTCATAAAATATGCACAATGGTTCTGTTTATTTTATTATAACAAATGCTTTAGGAGAGAGGAATGATGTCAAACTCCCTTTAAATATGTTAAACTTTCTTTTGTCAGGCCGTGTTTTATTAATGCCACAATTCCAACCAGTTATTTTTGTACATTTTTATCCTGGTTTGGGACCAGCAAAAGTCACCTATAAGAGGCACTCGAGTTACTTGGGCAATTTTAACCCAACCCAGTTTAACAGGTCCCTCTTGTAAATGGGTCCTCGTGGCTCAGTGAGGCTAGCCTGTATAAATAAAGGTTAATTGAAATTTTTTTGTTAGTTTATTTTTATTGTTTATTTAATTTAGTTTAGATTTCCTCAGTCTGCTTTGTTTTTTAATTCTTATTCACTGTTGATGTGTAGTATAATTCTGTAGATCAGGACAGGATCAGTCAGCAGGAGGGTTTGCAGGATTTATTTTGCAGTCTGGACTGGACGTGCTCTGACTGCAGCTGGCGGGGGGGCTGTGTGAGGACCGCCCCCCTGTGTGGACTTTGGGGTGTGGGAGGGGCCTACAGCAGCACACACTGCTCATTCAGAAGAATAACGATACTTGTCTTCAAGTATATAGTGACAAAGTTGCTAAGTAGGCAACATTGTGTAAGCACTTCGAGCAGGACTATCAGAATATTTCTACTGTGTAGTTCCAAAGTGCCAGGATGTAAAATTTTATAAAACGGTGTTTTCATGAACTAGTTTAAATAATAGGAGACTGAAGTTGTTCTTAGACAAGAGCAGTTCCTTCCAGTTTTGGACCTGCTCGGACTAGCTGTTAGCCTTTTAATTCATTCAGATTTAAACTATCTGCCACAGGTTAGATGTTTGTTTATAACTTTTCCACAGCAAACTGCTTCCTGAGATCTAAACTATCTCTTTGCGGGTTCGGCCTGAGCGCACAGGGGTGACTTAATGACCACAATAAGTCGCTCCAAAGTGACAAAAACAAGACTGGACGTGCACATGTGTGAGTCTGTAAAAGTGTGCATGTGTTTTGCACCTTTGTCTTCCCCAGCTGCCACTCTCGCTTGGTTTTGTCATGAAGTGTGAGCAGCTCTGAGCAGCAATACTTCTCATCGTCCGAGTGGATTTTGTTTTTTAGGATCATCTTGTACCTGAGGAAATGCACAGATATGACAAAAACAGCCACATTAATACGTCTATGAATATTATTCAATTAAAGGATTCAGAAATATGAGTTTCATCAACATAAATTTCAGCTGCTTATCTTTTATATTGGTTACAAGAGAAAGTAAACAAAACAAATGATTTACACAGAGGGTCAAGGAGAAGAAATTACTTAAAGCCTTAGTAGTTGCTAAATATTTGAATTTGTACCTGCTGTAGAAGTCCTTAAAGGGCCTGCGGACTGGGAATCCTGCCTTGCGTATCTTCACAGTTTCCAGCATCCCAGAATATCTCAACTGGTTCAGGACAACATCTGGGTTAAACTGATTGGCCTTCTGTCAGAGACAAATAAAAATCAATAAATGAAAACTTTACTTATTTATGTTACGTTTATAGAAACCTTACAAACTCAGTTTTTGTTGTATATAATTGCCACCTGCTGCCAAAAGGTGAAAAGTGGTGTTATTTGTCGGTTTGTTAGCAAAATATCTCATGAACCAGAAAACAAATTTTAATAAAACTCTTTTGAAAATGATCACTGTTAAACAGCTACAACTGATGACCTTTTGGGGTCAACTGAATTCAAGATAGCTGCTACAGTTTACTGACCCCATAAAACATATAAAAGCTATAATGCTGTCAACTTTGCAGTAATTAAGATAAAGTTTAATGTAGTATTAGCTGAGACTCATGCCCAACTCAGATTCCAAGCACAAATAATTAAACATCTTTGTTTAAAGTGTTGCCTTTAATTATGAAGGTAAACTCAGAAACTAATCATTGAATGTACATGTATGCTGGATTAACTTTTTGAGTCAACCAAATTAAAGATGGTTGCCACAGTTAATTTTTAATTGAATATATATA